GAAGCCCCCTCAGCGAGGCCAGCGGGGGCACGCCGGGCGCCGGGGCCGTTGTTGGTTCGGGTTTTTTCAGAAATTTTTTTCAAGACGCTGACTTTTCGTGGAATCAGCCAGATCCTACCTGTTAAAACATGATGGATTGGGGGGAAAAAACACACCAGGAACCTGAAAAACCAGCGTTCATCTCCATGACCACGGCTTGAACTTTCCTTCCAACTTAGCGATAATAGGTTCTGTCTTGGAAACTGCTATGTAATTTGATGTATGAGGGTCACTTGGCTGGGGAGAGGGTGGACACCAACCCAGAGAATGCTTCTCCTGCCCAGGCGAATCCCTTTCTCCCCCCCTTCTTTTTGTCCCCTGTCCTTCTTTCTTTCTGGGATTTTCTTTTTTCTCTCCCAGATTAAAGTTTACTCGTTACCTGCGTGAAAATGACCAGTTAAAGAACCGCCCGCATTAATGCGGAGGAGACCTGTGCATAATCTCCCATCTGGGAGCTCTTTCCACACGCGCTCACGTTGTTCCCAGAAATTAAAGTGTGTTCCTCACCTTCCCCCTGCCCCCTTGCTGACAAACCACCACGTCTTCTCGGATCAGAAGAGCTCTCGTTTCTTTTGCCACTTTCCCTGTATTTAAGCAGCTGGATATTTTCGCCCAAAACATCTGACGAGAACAAATGCTTAGGGGCGAAAAGCCTTACTCAACACTTGCACCAAACGAGCTCATTCTGCGCCTTTCAAGTTATACAAGTTCTTAGAAAACAGCATTCCCTTTGTTAGGTCGTACTAAAATGAAGGTAACACACCTACAGCAGGGCGGCTGCCCTGTTATTGCACTAATCAAGCTGGTTGGATGTTATTAAGCTAATAACCCGATGGAGATCTGAGGCGCGCACACCATTTCCAGCTCCTCGCCTCTCCTTCCTGATGCTATCGGGGCCTGGTGTGATTTTTCTCAATTCCTTTGAAAGAGAGAATACAGACACCACTGCCAAGAGGAGAAAAAGGAAATAACGAGCCAGCGGTGACCTTACAAAGGCACCCGCCTTTTATGATCGCGACAGCAAGTATCTCGCCTTCCCCGTGAGTTTTGCGGGCGCGGGCAGGGCGAGCGGTACCCGCACCGCTCCCGCAGCCGCCTGCCCACAGACAATGGGCGACTTTACTGGGAAGGCAAAATATTATCGGAGCTTCGGCCGCCTGCCAGCAAGGAAACG